TTTTTCTTCTTTCCTCCTCGTAAATCCACAAGAGCCGCGGCCACAAAGCGTGTGTTAGGCCATCTCAGCTAGTCCGCGCCAGTTATTTATAAGTAAATCGAAACGGACGAATACGTTATTTTCAAAGCAAAAGCGACACTCATACAAATATCTCATGTTTAGACAAGAAGGAAATTGTTTTTTCAAGTCCAGTGATTTTTTTAACGCAGTTTCGGGCAGACAGTTATGTTTCGTACAGAATATAAATAATCTCAATAAAAAAAAAGAAGGGACGATGTGTCAACTGGGAGTTTGCGACAGAAGACTCCGCAAAAAGGTAGAACCTGTTTTTCTTATCAATAAACTTAAAAATTAATTTTCCATTTCGTTTATTAGACAACAGTTCACACAAAAAAAAACAGTTTTTGTTCAGAAATTGGTTTAAAAATCGCCTGGAGCAAGTGTCAAATGCGTGTATCAGAAGGAAGAGTCTCCGATGCAATTCTCGAGTTGTCACTGTTCCACAGTATCCGTTCCCCTAATATTCAAATGTTTTGATTGTGTACACAAAGTAATAGAGACGCAGATGTTTTACCAGATCCAGCTTTCCTCTTCTCTCATCGACTTTTTTCTTCTATTTTTGTTTCAAATACAGCTCCGTATATAAATAATATCAATTTTCAGAGAAATGAGTGATGAAGCATTTAGGAGCCGTTTCCATCTTAATGACGCTGATAACAAGTGTGCCGGTAGAGAAAGACGTATGAAGATAAAATCCGAAATAAACGAAAAATGGCCCGAAATTGGAGTACAGTTCGAACCTGACCTATGGAGGCGAGTTTTCTCTTCCGGGAAGAAACTCCTTGATTTCTTACTTTTTCCAGGAAGAAATATAGAGAAGATCATGTAGAGAAGTTCAATGATTCAGTCGAATTTCTTCAAAACGTTACGGGAATAAGTCAGGAAGATGCGGAAGAAAAAATTCTCAATGATCTGATCCGCATAACATTTGTGGAAACAAACTTGACTGTCAACGGGCAGCAGAACGCTGAACAATTGTTTGCAAACCTGTTATTGGCTATCAATGAGGAACAAGAGATTCCATTCAAATCGGCTCAAGAGTTAGCTGATTTTTGCGATTCCATGCCGCTAAACTTCCGAAAGAGGCAAAGCTCTATCGAAATACGGGAGTTCAAGGGCGTCGTCTCATTCAGGAGTTGAAGAGGAAGTTGACGAGAGGAGATGTGATTGATTGCGATAGCCTGGATCAGATGTGAGCTTAAATTTCTTTCTGTCTTGAAGACTTAATTTTCCAGTTTTGAAAACTTCCGTAAGACGATCCACGTGGATGAAGAGTTGAAAAACTTTACCGAACAAGAAGCCCAGTTGGACTACTCCTCGCTGTTTTATATTTCAAAAACTATTCCTGGCTTCGTCTATGGTGAGCGATTAGTGCTCTATTTATATTTTTTAAAAAACATTGCAGACAAAGCCAGTGGTCGTCTTGGCTTATCTCCAGACGCCGACAGATCTCTTCTTCTGAATGCACCCATTTTCACGGATACCATCAATTCGTCCCACCCACTGAAACTGGACCTTTCTCGCACTGTAGACGCCTGCGCGATCAATGCCTGTACCACTTATCCGGACCGTCAACAGGTACTAAAATTGGACATTTTCTTATTCTATACTCGTTTTCTTATCAGTTCTATTTTGCCGATGAGCATCTGCGCGGCGTCAGATCAGCAATGTTCTGGAAGAAGCCATCGAACAGAACCAGCGTTATGGAATCTAACTTCGTGAGTTTGATTTTGCATTTTTTACATTAGAAAGGGTCTTTCAGACGAGCATCCACAGTTGCATTTCACCCAATAATCCGAGACTTCAAGTTGAAACATTTCGGATTGAGCCGACGAAACTGTGTTTGGTGGATGCCGATTTCGAGAGAGCCAAGGAGAACATTGACAAACGAAAGTCGCAGAGTTTTGAGAAATTCTTTGCTGTATATGGGAACCTGAACAAGGAGGAAGCAGGAGAAGACCAAAAGGAAATGGAAGCAGCTGATGATGTATAACTTTTTGAATGATATTGTTTTAAGCAATAAACTAGTTGTAGAATAACTAATGTACTATCATTGTACTTTCGCTCCGACACAGGCTCACCACCTAAGTGTCGGACCAACCACTTCAAAATTACCTAGAAAACACACCAGAGGCATATTTGGTCATTTCTAGGCTGAAAAAGGCGGTGGCCTAGAAAAATCTTGCAAAAGTTAGGCCACAACTTCAAAGTTTCGATTAATCTGGAAAATTCGAATTTCCCTCTTTCTGAACAAAACGGTTACTGTTGAACCGGGAAAGGTCTAGAACTGCGTCAGAGAATCTTCCTTCTGATACACGCAGTTGACACATTGCTCCAGTCGATTTTTGAGCCAGTTTCTGAACAAAACGGATACTGTTGAACAGGGAAAGCTCGGCTCTTTTTTAGTTTAGAGGTCCCAAAAAAATTTAGAGGTCCCAAGAAAAAATAGAGGTCCAAAATACGAAAAACGCGCAGATGTTGGAATGATGTACTAGTATTTGAACTGTGCGAGTAGTTTGAGTTTTAGGGTCTTATAGGATGACATGACTACTCCTAACAATTTTAGCTCCAATTCTCTCGCATCTTGCCGATGAACCCAATTTACATATGAGGAAAATTTGGGCAATACAGTAACCACTTCGTGATTATGCTGTCTCTCAGGCTTAGATAATTGTCAGAAAATATGCATTCCTAAGCCTATTAGAATTATAAAATATATCATCAACAATTATTTTGCCTCAACCTCAAAACTTTAAATTCTTACACAATTCAAATTTTAGTACATTATTCCGGTATCTGTGCATTTTTAAGTTTTGGACCACTATTTTTTCTTGGGACCACTAAACTTTTTTGGGAGCTCTAATTTTTTTTGGGACCTCTATTTTATTTTGGGACCTCTATTCTTTTTTGGGTCCTCTATTCTTTTTTTTGGGACCTCTATTCTTTTTTGGGACCTCTATTCTTTTTTGGGACCTCTAAACTAGAAAAGAGCCGAAAGCTCTATAACTGCGTCAGAGAGTTTTCCTTGTGATACACCCAGTTGACACTTGCTCCAGGCGATTTTTAAACCAATTTCTGAACAAAACGGTTACTGTTGAACCCTTAAAACTTGAGAACTGCATATGCAAGTCTTTGGTCTCAACTATGGGTGGATTGGGATTACAACACACGAGACTCGTCGCAGAAATTTTAGAGTTTAAATGCGTGTCTTCTATCCTATGATCCCAATTATCGCATCGTTCACTGCGATTTTCATTAAAATTGGTTAATGTCAAACTTGAAGGTCTGGAGGTTGATCGGCGAGTTTTTTATCTGATACATCCGAATTTGAGCTTGTTAGTACCAATTTTCAGGGACATTCTGAAAAAACATTATGTAAAAACAGAGCAGTTAGCGAACGAATATATCTATTCTTATGGTTTGGTGGTCCTCGCTGCTAGCCACTCTGCTACCGAGGCATTTTTATCTCTTGCACGCAATGCAGTGAAAGAAGGGGAGGAAAAGGGAAGCGATAAGACACGCGAAAATGTTATAATTTCAGATCGATTTTTCTCGAGTTTCAGCGAGTTTTGCAGGTAGCCACCGCGTCACGTAAAAGCCCATACCCGATTCTATAAATGAGCCAATTTAGAGAAAATTCTGAAGAGCTTTCTGAACGACACTCCCTGGTTAGGCGCTCACCAGCAAGTATGGCTGCCTTCAGTGTAGTGTTCCAATTTTTAACGTATAGTGTTGCTAAAAATACTATAATTGGTTGATGAAATATAACTAAAAGGGAACTGAAACAATGCCACCGAAAAGTATAAAGTATTTGATATAAAAATAAAACAACATGATTCCTTTTAAAAAATAATTGAATTGTAGAAAAGTGATTTGGAGTAGTATACAATTATTGATTGGTGTTGAACCGATTCTTATTGTTGTGAGCGATTAATTTTCCAACATTTTCCACGAATTCGTATAATTTGTCATAATTGCCATGGTCTAGGAAAAATTCTGATGACTGACATCCTCGAATTCTATTATGGAGCTCCTGTGAAAACGTTGGTGAAAATCCTGGAAAAATTAGTTTATAAATTTATTGGTGTAGCTTTTACCTTCTACATCCTCCGCACGCGAGCTGTTATTCTGTATCTCTTTCGATTTTCGTTCTCTTTCGTTTTCCTCAAAAATTTTGTACTGCATGGTCATGGTATTCACGGCAACAGGACCAAATCGAACACGTTTGTTGGATGATCGGAGGATTTCCAGCATCAAATATTCACCTTCCTTTGATATGATAATATCGTCTATCTTGAAGAAGTAGCTATCCGAATCTTGGCGGCGAGACCCGTCGTAAGGAAATTCAGGTAGAAAAACTTGTTTCAGCTCACTGGCGTTCCAATCATAAATGTATTGCTCGAAAAGGTTTGTTGTCTTGTTTCGACAATGAATCACGTTGTCCTGGCCTTCACGACAGTCAAAATACATCGGAACCAAAAAGTTTTGAGTGATCTTCTCGGGGCACACTGGACAGTTAATAGTTCGTACCATACGCTTCTCGTTGAAATAATATTTGAGATAAGTGCCATCTGTGATCTTGACACAAATATTAATCCGATTGAAACAAGGACAAAACAAGGTTATGAAATCAGGAAGTGTTTGGAAATATTGCTGGAAGACGTTTTCGGGTGGCTGTTCTGGTTCAGGAATGACATCATTGTCAGAAACAAATTGCTGTACTACAGAGTCTGGTAATTTCACAGTTTGGCCTTCTTCATGTCGAAACTGGCATAGACCATCTGCATCTTTTTCTATTGATATATTTACGCCACTGCCAATGTCACAAATCATTACATGTCTAGATATGTTGAGATCTGGACGAAACATTATATCTGATCTGTGCACTTGCTCAAGAATCTTGGATTCCTTGTTGTAGACGTATTGCTCACGTTTGTTGTTGAACGAATTCCAGCAATCAACCACTATTTTTCCGATTTCAGAACAATGAGAAGTGTGTAGTGGATTTAGATCGGATTCCATGGTGGGCGTTTGACAATCACATGAATGCACTTTGAATTGATGTTGAGGGTGTTCGAATTCGAGTTTCAGATAGCGGTTTTCCTTACGATGAACTCCAAGCAAAACAAGTTGGGGTTGTCGAGTGCAATTGAAGAGCACAAATTGTGGGCGAAGAGCTTGTTGTTCATTCTTTCCGTACATTTTGTAATGTGCCACCCCATAGTTATATATTTCTTGCGAGTTTTCGGGTAGATGGTTTCGCAAAAGGCTCGAACCACTCGGAATCCGGACGGATGACGAGCTTGAAGACGAACTGGGCATTTCTGAAAATGTCTTTAGGTGTTGTTTGAATTTTTGAGTGAAATTCTCAAGGGTAAACAAAAATAAAATAGTTACCGTTAGAACTAAAATACAACTTAATGCTGTGAGCCTATTCATACCGGTTATTTGAAGAGATAAAAAATCTGTTAATTGATAAACTTTTTATCATAAAACCAGCATGTTTGCCGCGCCTCCGGCGCTTCAAACAGCTGGATAGTGCGCTCTCGTCGCGATGAGACCTATTCATTGTACTGTTCGTCGCTCCGCTCCTCACTTTTTCATTTTTCTTTCTCAAAGGGTCACGTCATTCATATTTTATTTTCAAGTTGTTCGATATTGTGACACACTTTCAGGATTTCCAATTTTCGAAAGATTTCTGGATATTTGTCTTTTTTAATTCAAAAAATCGTAAATCCTGTAAATTCAGAATAATAATCTCGGGGTTCCAAAAAATCACGATCCGCGATTTAGAAACTCAAAAACTTGGGATAAACTCTCAAACTTCCATATTTAGATATTTACTTTAACATATGAAAATTCGCGAGTTTTGTAATTGCGAAAAGTGTTGAGTTAGGATCGTCTCAATTTCTCAATTTCCAAATTTATTAAGTTTCGAATTAGAAATTCTGAAAGTCAAAACTCGAAGTCTTTCGAATTAAAAAAATCATGAATTAACCTTCCGAAAACGTGGACATTCGGACTTGAAACCTCTATATTTAAAAAAAAAAAAAAAAAACCTAAATATTGACAATGAAGAATTTTGGAACTTTCGATTTTTTAGTAACTGATCTCTTAATCCCCAATTGTCTTACTTTTACGATTTCTGGATATCTTTATTTTAGACATTCCAAATACTCAAACTTCTGAATATCCAAAGATTCGAATTGAGACCTTGAAAAGAATAAGCGCGGAAGAATTTCTATTAGTAAATCTTAGAAAAATTTTTAAACTCTTTTTAGCTTTGCACCTATGTAGTCTAATTTAATGCCATGGCGTTCTATTTTTAATGAATAGCTAGGAGAAAGTTCTATTAGAGGGTGGCATTCTCTTCTCTTCAACCCTATTTTTTGCGGATTTTGCAAAGATTCTTTTCGGACCCTACCGAAACAGAAACTGTGAAAAGGCAAAGAAGAAAAGAAAACAAAAATTTTAAAATGATCAAAGAAAATTTTTCAAAAAAAAAACCCTAGCGACAATAGGTCAGCCCGCTCCAGGGATGTTCGGAAATTTTCTGAATGTCGAAAATTCAATTTCTAAAATTTAGAAGTTTCGGAAATGCAAAATTGTCAGATTTTCAAAACGTTAAAATTTCGGAATATTCGGAGTTTTAAAAAAATTCAAGTTTTAAAGTAGAAATTCAATTCTTGATGCACAAAAACAAAAAAAAACTGGTGAAAATTGACAGAAAGATTTCGACAGCGCAAAAAAAATATTAGACTTAAGTTTGCTCTTGACCTGCAAGCAAATGTTTTGCGTGCGTCTTTGACATACCGTAGTTCAAAAATCTCTAATTTCGAAAAAAAGAAGCTTTGGAAAAATTCCGATCGAGATGGTATTCCGAAAAAAGGAGACATTCCAAAAAAAAAATTTCGGAATTTTTCCGGTAGAAATTCTATTCTGAGAATGGTCATAATTCCGAACTCCGTTCCGAACATCCGTGGCTGACTCTAAGAATCAACAGATTGATAATCTGGTAAAGAGTAATTTTCGGCGGCATTCTATTAGGGGAGCATTCGATTGGAGAGTGTTGTTTTTTGGAGGCTGGCATTCTATTTTTCGGAGCACATCTCAGAGAACGTTCTATTAAAGGGAATTCAATAATTAGGGGCTATAGGGTGTTTTCAGTGTATGACTTTCGGCTTTTCATCAAAAACTTATGTGCTTTCAGACGGACCTTTCAAGAAAAACCGATTAAATGTACTGATTTTTCACCAAATTTTCTTCCAAGGTTATCTAGTGACTTGAGACAAAAACAAACTGAAAGCTTCGAAAGTCAATCAAATATTAAATCGACTTGAAACTAATCAAATTTGAGAAACGGGATACTCTTGTTTTACCATTTCATTCAAGAAGAGAATCGTTCGCTTACATTCTCACACATTTCTGAACCGTGTTGAAAACCCGCAAAAATATGCTGGCTATCGAACTCGAACCCGCAACGCACGATATCGGCTTTTTCTACCCCTTCCTATCCCCCGGAGATTATGCCGCAACCATTCACTGTGATATGAATTCACTGGATTAGCTGTATTCTTAGGCGCCTCTAGTATAGAACGACAACCGAATCGGCGAAGGCGCGGTATAATGCTGCAGCCGACAAAAAGCAGGCTCGCGTCAACCACTATGCTTTGCATTGGCGTGCAGCGACGACCACACCAAACTCTTCAGCCGAGTAGAACCTCTACGCCCTCCCTCCCCTCTTTCTCTGTGGCTCTCATGGCGCAACTGTGTGCGTGCGCAGCTATTGTGCGAAAGGTCGCGAGTTCAGTTTTGGTTGCGGCCAAACTCTTATTTAAAAACCCAAAAGTCGACAGACGGACACCGGGACGGACAGATGCGTCTAGCGTTTTATATATAAGGAAGATCACCAACGTTTTCTGATTAGGAACTTTTTTGAATGTCTAACAGATATTTAGATAATTTTACTTTGAGTTTTGAGCAACTCACCTCTTACTTACAAAGCAATTTTATTAGGACTGCGAAAATCGAATTAACCAAAAGAAGAGAAGATTTCTGTAAACAACGTTCCACAGTGTTTTCTGACAAAATGTAAACTGAAAGAAGAAAAATCAAAAGAAAGTTTAAACGATGGTAGGATACTTTGTAATGCACCTCACACTCATTTTTACAGCTAATAAAGATTGAGAGACGCAGAACAACCCTAAATTGTCGGACGCGTTCTGAACACAAAGACTTCAAGAATCAAACGCTATTAAATTTCTTATGGAAGCGCAAAAAAAAAGTACGGCAAGTTGAAAAAGAAAGGAAAAGAAAACGAAAACTGCAAGCAGAAGAAAGAAGAGAAACTGTTCTCGCTTCCTATTCGATTTATCTATTTCTGACTTTTACGACGACTTTGAAACGCGTGTTCAAATAAGAATGAACTTTAGGTTGGAGAACAGAAGGCAAAAAGTATGAAGTTTTTCAGGGAATGAAACAAAGAAAATCAGAAAGGATTATGAAATTACTACACTTTGATTCTTTAAAAAATGTATCTCGTCTCCGTTATCGTTATGAAGAAGGATAAGCCGGTGCTTTAAAAATTGACTTTTTCCCTGGCCAACATATTGTTGAAAATATCAAAGCAGCACAATTTCCAAAAATATATTCAGAAGCTCAGGAAATGCCTACTTGTTTTATATATATAAATAAGTCAAAATTTCATCATTCATGTCAACTTTGGAAAATCGAATTCCTTGGCGCCAATTCTGGACTCCAAATTAGTCATTGGCAAGAATCTTCGTGTTGTTGGCGAATTTATAACTTTGAGAAGAGAAATAATTAATTTTGTTCAAAATTAATTTCTTTCGAAAATTTTTAAATGTTATTGGTGGTCGATCCCATTTGAAACTTCAAAACGGATTGCACTTGTTTAAAATTTGTATACCTAGATTCGGGAACTTGAAATTTCACAAAATTTCACAACATTTTTGAGATTTTCAATTGAAATGTACAGTGTAGAAGCGGTGCATATCTTTTACCAGCCTAATATTATTTTCCCCATGTACATTTGAATGATGAAAATTTGAAACACAAAATTTATTGAAGAAAGAAAATTCACAAATGAATTGTGAAAATGTCAGTTCCAAAAAAGAACAAGTCGTTGAGAGGTCAAAAAATTGTAAACCACAGAACAGTCAAGAAGGGTTTGACGAAGGAGAAAACTACAAAAATAGGAGATAAGTAAAAAGTAGTTTTGAGAAATTTGTGAATTGTAGTTATCAAAAGCTTTAAATTAGATTTGGAAAGCGTAACGGGAGATCATTAACTTTCCAGAAAATGATATACAGCATTTGATCCTCTTCCACATATCTGACTGTCGCAACATCATCATTTGAAAAAATAATATGTCCCTTCAAATCGTATAATATAGCTTGAGATGTTCTGAAACAATAAAATTGCAGCAGCGTTGTCTTATTTTATGCTTGTTTTACCTGAAGTAGCGTTCCATGATCGAGCTATTCCATTCACAGTTAATGAGACCGTTAGACACCAAATTCATGTCGAAATTTCGGAAGTTCCTTACTTTTATGGCCCGACATCTTTCGAGTCCCCCGTTTTTCCATCTTTCGATTAAGAGATTCGCGTCTCTGTTGGTAAATTGTGTCCCGTTAATCAAGAAGATCTCATTTTCACCATAAAACATGCCATTATCCAACATGAATTCATACATCGAATTTTTGAAGTCAGCTTGTAAGTTCTGAAAATTGATTTACTATCAGCTAAATAGAAATGATTTTTACTGACTATTGCCTTTAGATCAAAAGGCGGCCCATAGGCTCTGAATGCACAGCAATCCAAAACAGAAAACGTTTCAAGCAAGTTTGAATTAAGAATATTATAACCATGGAATGAGCAAATGACTTTGCTGAGTTGTCGTGGAACCACAAGATCAATCAAATCAGCGTGAGGTTGAGCACGATTAAGATTGATTGAGAGATAGTCGATTGGAGCATTTGGAAAAAGTTTGCGCACGTTTGTAATAAATTCACTCAATTCATCGCCATACTGTGACGTCTGACTAGTCCACACATTAGAAAATGGGTTGTCCACATAAAGGTTAGATAATTCGGTGTTTGGTGGTCTTTCAAGCGCGGCTCTGGTTCTTATGATCTGGTAAGTGAAGTCATCGATTCGAATAGTCTCTCCTGATCGGCGAATTGAGATGAAAATTGGCTTTGTGGTTTTGACTTTTCTCTGAATCATTTCTTTCATTCTCTTCGACGTTTGTGTCATGTTGAATCTGAGTTAACGTAATTAGAAATGTCCTCACTGTCGATTTCAACTTACAGTATGGAAAAATTCGAAACAACAAAAATTGTCTCTATAACAAGGATTGGAAGACCCAGCAAATTGAAAGAATTTTTGTCGCTTTTCCGCACTTTTGATATTTCGTCGCTCATTCTGAAAAATACAATTGGAAATCTTTTAAAAAGATTTTCACATTTACAAGAAGAAGTGGTGGGGTAAATAAAAAAATCGAGTGGCATGCCAAAAATGAAAATTTTTCATTTCAATCAGTGAAGAAAAATGCACGTTTCTTCAAGAAGATCTCACAAGTGTAGTGGATAATAAGAAGTCTCGAGTTTGATAGCAGCACATCAATTTTTCTACCTACAAATAATAATCCCCTCCTCTCAAAATCTTGTGTTTCTCCGTACCAAGCACATGATCTCCGAAAATCCGTTTGATCAAGAAAGGAGCGCAGAAAAAAGGTGAAAATGTCATGAGGAAGAAATGAGGGAAAAGGAGAATGCAGTTGATGCAGTAGAAATGTGCTTTGATGTATCATTTTTAGGTCACTCTTGGTGTTGTTAGCTCGAATTAGAAGCAAGATATCATTAGTCGACCAGAGAAATTCCTAGGTTTTGCAAAAATACAACCACAGAAAAGCTACTAAGGCGTATTACATTGTTTGAAAAGCGGGAAGAGTTGAAAATACTAAACGTATGGGGCGGGATTCGACCTTTCAAAAACCTGAAAATCACGAAAAAGTTGAAAATCGTCTATGGACATTCTAACTTTCAAAACACGAACAAGCTCCAAACAAAAGTCTTGCTTTCCCATTTGAGAAGGGATTCCGACTTTCGACAAACGAGTTAAAATACTTTTTTCCCACTTTCGACTCTTGTATTTTCACTCCGCAATCAGAATTCTGATTCATTGGGAAAATGAAAAAAAAATAGAAAGAACAAGCTCCAGTAGAGCTAGAATTCCAGCTTTCAAAAACAAAGCTTTCATCTTTAGAATTCCGAACATACAAACTCTCCTGCGACTGCCAAATTCAAAGCATTAACTCCCTAGCAACTCTTCCAGAAGTCATTTATACATCTCTGTCTTGTTTCACTCTCCTTGCCAAAAAGAGAGCCATATTCACTGGGACACGTGACCTGTGATTAACTCAGTCAAGGGAAAATTCGAAAAAAGCGAAGTCATACGATTGGAAGCAGAGGTAAATGTGCACTCCGAGGAGATGAAATGACAACATTAATGGGCAGTGGGCGTAATGGCTCGTTTGCTCATATTCTTTTTAAAGGCGGATTTCCTTGAAAGAGAATTAGAATTTTCCGAACTTTGAACTACAAATTCTCACTATACTAAATTTATTGTTTCCCGCTTCGGACTCTTCTTCCAACAAGGAAGATTTTATGAATCACTTGCCTGACATCATCTGCAATCTCAACTCGAATATCTGTTCTTGTTTTTTGACAGTCCCTTTCATTGAAAGTGCCCGGCTGCCTAAAAATTTCATCATCATTCTCCGTGGCCCTCACATGATTGTTGAATTGAGGTGAATAAAAAACAAATGCGCCTATTTCCTCGTCATATTTCTGGTATTACTCAGATTCCTTCAATTTTTCAGAAGTCGATTCGAGATAACGGTTATATCGCTATCTCTGCTCCCTTCATTTCCTTATTTTATCCCACCAGACCATCGACATTTTTTCTTTTTTGTATGCATCTGTAGGATAATCAGAGAACCATATACACTTTCCCATTCTTTTTTCCTTTTCCCACTTTTTCCCATTCTAGTTTTTTACAAATCATCGTTTTTGTTCTAATTTTCCCAAGCCATTTTTTATGGGCGGTTCTTTCCTCTCCCTCGTGACATTTTCCGGGTCTCCCTCTCCCAAATTTCCATACGACAGGCGAGGGCCAATGATAGTCGAGAAACTGTGTGGTAGGGGCTCTGTTCTCTTTTCCTCGTTCCTTTCGACGCAGAAATACACACAATTGCATAAAACCTCCTACTGCCAGTCAAAAAGAAGGCTCTCTCCTACTATCGTTTTTTCCTCATTTTTGATTGAATGGCTTTTCTTGACTGTTTTCTCACCCACCCGATTTCTCACTTCACTCTTCCTCGAAAAAACGTTTTTTCTGCTTGATGACTAATTAGGAGGGCACATAGAATCGCGAAATGGCCCCCAATTTCAAATTTGACACCGTGGCACATCGGGACGCGTTGCGTGTTAATTCCTCATTGGCGACTTGTTTAGTCACTACCGTAGTGACTCAACAACGATTGAGATGTTTTCGAATTCCGTTTCGAAAATCTGAAAACTGACACGTGTCTAAATTTTAAGTGTGACGAAGCTCTCATTTCAGAAGCACCAGTTTGCGATTTTTTTTGTGTATTTCATATAGATTTAGTAGAAAAAAGACAGTATCTCTGTCTCTTTTCTACTGAATCTTTTCAACCATTTTACTGGATCAGTTTTCTTCTTGCGCTTCTCTAGATGCCTACTCAAGAAACTTATTTTTCACTTGACTAACCGAAGTCTACCAGACCTTTTCGATAATATTGAGAAAATAACACATGTGAGATATCTGCCATACACGCGACACTTCCGAATTCGTCATGGTGTAATTACACAAAATTCCACAGCCCCGTGTGATTTTTTCTGGTCGTCGCCTGCTCTAGTGAGTTTATCTGAGATTTTTTTCTCAATTATATTCGGGTTATTCAGAAAGAAGCAAGCCAGTAATTTGCTGATTTGCATTTTTTGGAATCACATAAATTTAAGTGCAAGGAAAATGGTGATTACCGTAAAAACTAATATAACGCCACCTGTAGTAGCACGCATCTCTAATACAACGTAATCCTTATGGGAGTGCTTATAGATACCTATAAGTAGCAAGAGCTCTATTACAGTTTTTATATACCAGACGACATTATAGTTCTTGCTTCCAATCAGCTGAACGAATTTTCAATAGACTAGCAGCCTGTTTGTTCCGGCGCTTCAAACTGGTGGCTGGTGCGCCTGCGGCGCGAGATCGTCTGCCGAAGTATAATATCTAAAATATCTTTTTATGTTGACCTGCAAACCCCAAATGTTTTACGGTAGATCAAATTTGTCTGGCGGCCTTTTTATTGAGAAACTGGCCTTCTGGGAAAAACACGAATGTCACAAAAAGAAGAAAAGAAAAAAAGAGACACCACATCATTTATTTATCATAAGAATGATAATAGGCTATCTTAATTTTGGTTCTTAGCAGTTCATGTTTAGGAATGTCTCGTTTTGTTTTTTGTGATATTCTCTGTGATGTTTTTTCTCAAAACGTTGAGAGAGACTCTTTTTTCTATGTAAATATGTGCATTGTCTTTTCTATCATTTTTGATTGTGTGTCTCTGTACCATTTCATCCATGTGTTCGAACTTCCGGTGTAATGAAATGAAAATTTTCAGACAAAATGGCCTTTTCAGTCGATTCAAATGTCAATATGATTCGGTATTTGGGCACTGAAAAAATGAATGAGATAGTTGAAGAGATGCCGAAAGATTTGTTAGAAGTGTAAGCATTGCATTTTTTCATAAAATCAAGATATTTTATTTCAGGGTATCTAACATTGTGGCAACTGTGGATAAGGAAGGAAGAGGGCCGAATGGTAAAATCGATATGGCTAAGACTGTTAACATCCAATACAGTCCACAAATTCAACGCACTGCTTCTCGAATCAGAATGATGTGAGAGGGTTTTTATTTGCTCAAGCGAATATTATAATATGTTTCAGAATTGGATCGTCTATAGATCCAACTATTGCTGCATCATGGCTCGTCTCCGAAATTTTGGGTCTTTTTGAGAACTTCTCCGATGCCATCAAAGTCATCAAAAAAAGGTTGATGTTTCCGGAGGAGAGAGACTTGATGGAACCACTGCGGAAAGCCGAAAAGATTGTCGATGAAGCTCTCAACAAAATGAGGGCTCAGTTCAAGAACATGAAGGTAACATTTTTTCGTTATGTGTGTCTTTTCAGAAAAATGTTCGATAACGCCTTTCTTAGAAATTTTCAGAGGAATTTCGACGAAAATAATATTCTTGTTTTTTGGTCATTTCAAAATGGTTTCTTAATTTTTGCAAGTTGAGTTTCCTCTCACCAGGTTGAAATGGCCTAGCACTGGTTTGATATTTTACCTGGTATGTTTTCTAGATCATTGTTACGTGGTGGCCTAGAAAACGCAATTTTCAAAAGTTAGGTTATTGCGTTTAAATGACCTAGAAAACACACCAGTTGATGGTAAGACCATTTTTAGGTCATTTTACCGTAGTGGCGTAGAAAACTCAACTTGCAAAAGTTAAGCCTCCATGTCAAAAGGATACATGGAAAGTTACATTAGTTTAAACATTTTAAAAATGAGTTTGATAGAACCGTCCGTACTGACATGGTTTGTAAAGCAATCCTTGTCCGCTTCAGCCTTCCTTTTGAAAATAGTATTAAATTTCAGAAAATCAGAACAAAAGCAGTACAAAAAGAGTGCCACAATTGCACCGGAATATTGGCTAAGCAGGAAAAAGCTTTCTTCGAGAAGAACGCAAGCCAGATAAAGCTGGAAGAGCTCAAAAAAGAACTCGAGGGTATTGAAAGCGAGAATGGAATTCTCGTTGGGTCGATTCAAAGTCTTCAGGCAAACTGTCGAGGATTGGAAGAAACTAAGAGAATGTTCAAACAGAAAACTTTGGAGGCTCAAGAAGCCCAAAGGTGAGGGAATTGAGAGCATTGATTACTTATTGATGCTTGTTTTTGCAGACGGTGGGAAGAAATCAAAAACGCGAGAGCCAGTAGAGATATGGAGCATCTCATGAATGAGAAAGTGAAACTGGAAAGTGAAGCTGCAAGACAAGAAAGGATGATTCAACAAAATGAGGAGTGAGCAAAAACCAGAAAAGTTGGAATTGCAACCAGTCATTTCAATTTCAGACAAATCGAGAGCAATCGACAGCAACTTGTGAAATTAGAAGAAGAAAACCAGTTAGGGCAGAATGTCACCGCCAGGTAATTAATGAAAATTGGAGAATGGCAAAAATTGACGAATTTCTAGATTGGAGCAGCAATATGAAGAAGTTGCAAATGAAAACACCAAAACGAAGGCTGAAATCGATGAAATTGTTGCAGCTTTGGAGCATCAGAAGAATGTGGAAAAGAATAGAAAAGAACAGGAAGCACGTACCATGAAAGAACTTCAAATGAAAATGTACGTTTCAAACTTGCCGATATACCATTCACTATGTCAACTTTGACTCCATATATCTTCTTTGATGGAAGAGAGACCGGAAAGTGGTCAACTGACAAAGTGTTTTATTTAATATCAGAAATAGTTTGTTAGTAACGGATTTTTGATATCTTTTTTTCAGGAATAAAAAAGATAGATTGGCTTAAACGTTAGGGTTGACAAGTTAAAAGTTATTGTCCTATAAGAGTGTTTACGTTAATTCATTTATGTTTTTAAGGTTGCCATCCACCAAGTTCAGTCCATTCAACACACAACCAACACCCGAATACAACAAGCAATATGCTGAAAGTGGCAACCAAAAATTCAACCTTCCAACTAAAAATTCGCGAGAAGTCCAAATTAAAGAAACGTAAGTTTGATAGTGGATTGGTTTGGTAATTTCGTTTTTAACAGGATCCCAAAAGCAACGTACACTTGCCAAAACCCATCAGAGCCATGGAGCCAGTTGAGAAGTGTTCTTGATCTTCACCGCAGCTGCAATCAGGAGAGAAACCAAGAGTGAGTCGCAATCCTTTTGACTGAATGAATTAAACTTTTTACAGGGTCACGGTAAACGTGTACAGTTCAACACAAGTGAGGGAGTATCATCATAATGTCGGAAATGACCTTACAAACCGCAATCTTCCACACAGCAAAATGCAAAATTCTCAAATGAACCAATCGTAAGTTTATTTTTTGTCGACTGAATGAATAAAAGTTTTACAGGACATCTTCAACCGCTCCCAATTTGCGAATTTCGATGGAAAATCAGTCACGTGCTCTGAATAATTTGAGTCTTGAACTCAGTGCTATTCAGAATACCCACATGAAAAAATCGTAAATTTCAAACTTGTCGACTGAATAAATGACATTTTTATAGGATCACGGCAAACGTCTACAGTCCACCACAAGTGAGAGAGCATCAGCATCATGTCGACAATTACTACAGAAATCGAAATCTTCAACGCAATACGATGCAAAATCTCCACATGAACCAGTCGTAAGTTTCATTTCTATCTACTTAATGAAAATGGCATACTTGTCATTGGCCGGGTAGGGCCCAAATGAAAAATTCTCCGGCCGTGGTCAGCTTATGAAATTTCGAAATTCCGAAGTTTCTCATAAACTTTCGAAGTTTTCGCTAGGTTTTTAATAAACATCATACTTTTGTAATAGCGGATAATCCCAGGAAGTTTTTTTTGAGATGGAATTAAACTAATTTTTCTGAACCCTTTTTAAAAATCGGCTACCCGAGCCGAAAGGATTATTTTTTGACCCTGACCCGGCCCGGCCCTGCTCGGCTGGCCGGGTCACCATGGCTGGGCCGGGCCGGGTCACCGAATTGGCCTGAAAAGTGCCTGGAATGAAGGCTTCCCAGGACTCCTTCAACCGGGTTCAATGGGCAAAACTCTATGGAAAATCTTCAACAAAGCGCGATTCAGATCACACACATGAAACAATCGTGAGTTTGATTATTGCTGACTGATTAAATGAAACTTTTACAGACATACTGACACTGCACACAATCAGCAAAATGGGAAAAAATACCTGCTTCATGTCGAGAATGCTCTCAATAATTTGAATGCTAAAGACTGCCTGTTAAATGTCGATAATGGCGCCTACAACTACAATCTTCAAAGAATCGACATGCAAGTCTCTCAGCTGAAACAATTGTAAATTTTATTATTGTCGACCAAATCAATTAGGGGTTCACAGGACTTCTGCATCCGCTTACAATCTGCGAAGCTCGATGGAAAATGTGCCACGTGTCGAGAAGGGCGCCTACAACTTCAACTTTCAAAGAAGCGCCATTCAAAATCCCCACATGAAACGACCGTGAGTTCAATTCTTATCAACTGAATAAAATAACGTTTCACAGGGCTACTGCGACCGCTTACGATAAAAAAGATATCATGAAGTATCTCGAAAATGGACTCAACGATTTGAATCTTCAAAACAGCATCATGAATGGTAAAGAGGGGAACCAAGCGTGAGTTTCAAACTTGTCGACTGAAGAAACGAGACTTTTATAGGAATACTAAAACTGCTTACACTCAGCAAAATACGAATCATTATCAGCCTCATATGGAGAATGGACTCTCAAACTTTGAAATTCAAAGCATCCAAGAAAATGCAAGGTGAGCTGACTTTCTGTTAACTTAATTGAAGATTATTCTACAGTTCGTCAACAGCGGAATACACTCGAACAATGATGCCTTTTTTCCCATTGCTGAGCAACTTGTACGACTGCCCACGATGCGGCAAGAAGGTGGTTAAGCATGATCGGGACAGCTTGTGCGCTGACTGCGAATTCAGGTGATAATTGTAGAAGGTAAAACGTATTTAAGAAGAAGTTTTTCAGTGGCTAGAACAGTATCCCCAAAACATCATTGTCCTGGAGAGTCTCCATAGTTTTTTGAACTTTTTTTTTTGATAATCGCTCACTTAATATTCGAATAAAAGATTGTGACGTTTTCTGACTCTTCTCGTATTCTCTTCTCATATTCCGTTTATCTCGGATGTATATACTATTTTTCCTTGTTTTGCACTAATGCGAATTTTTTGTCCTTGTGTATGTATCATATTCATTTCTCTCCGGAAATTAATTGTTTTTCTCGTTTTCCTCTCAATATCTTTTTATCATCGCCCGTTCTGCGTTTTTTGTGATGTTCTCTCAGTATCTCCATTTTCATACTTACTAGAGAATGGTGCAAACGGGTCATGGAGTTATGGATTGGAAAGTTGAGAAAAAATTATTCACAAATATGCAGTCAAAATCTGCTAAATAATGCTCGGAAATTAGGTGTGAAGCATTGTATTCTATACTATTTTACTCAATTTCAAGTAATTTTGAATAACGTGAACCTTAAATGAATAAATCCAAAGTCCCTATTGAAATTGAAGAAAACAGTAACGCATCCAGACCTTCAGAACTAATTATCTTCGAGCTGGCTACCGCTTAGCAGATTTTGATTGCATATTCATAATTAAATTTTCTCAGCTTTCCAATGATATCGGTCATGTGCCATAACTCTATGATCAATTTGCATAATTCCCTAGTTAGGCCGTTGATGGTTTATTGATTCTGTGCCCCTCCCGAGATGCCACATGTTGTGACCCCGGTTTTTATTTTCTTGTGTATATTAACTTTTGTCCCTTCTCTCTCTCTATCTCTCCCCCCCCCCCCCCCTATTTCTGTGTTCGGTTGGGTATTTTCTCTCGACCCTCGTAAAAGTACCTCGGGCAGGCAACGACACTCCGTCATCCCGCATAACCGCGAAAATCTGTATTTGAATCGCCAGGTTTTCGAGCACGGGTTTTTTCGAGAAATCTTATTATATCTGACAGTCAGAGATGTTCGGAACGGAATTCAGAATTTCGAAAATTCCGACCATTTTCGGAATGAAATTCCGACCGGGATATTTCCGTTGCGCGGAACGAAATTCGGACCAGAAAATTTCCGACATTTTTTTCCGGAATGAAATTCCGATCTTTTCTGAAATTCCGATCTTTCCGAAATTTTGAAAGTCGGAATTTTCATTCCGAAAATTTCAAAAAGGTCATTCCGAACATCCGTGATCTGATAGTAAATTCACGTTCACATTCCAAGGTTTGCTTTTGTTGATTATCTGAGTTTAAACTGGTGAATGATACCTTACTTGCGCCTATTTCATGTTCTTTCACACATTTTTTGTTCATTTTTATGCCTGATGCGTAGGATTAAATATTCCAATAAAAGCGAAGACAATTAATCACCTCCCATTACCCCGATCTCCCAAAAGCCGTTTCTTCTCTTTCCCATCTCAATAGGTGTATTTTTTTAATTTTTTTCCTCTGATATACATAGTCACAAAAGAAATTATGATTGAGATGCCTATGTTCGAAATTTTCAACCATGCTAGATTCCTGCGGCGTCACGATTATTATCTGAGACCTCTCACAAAGAACTCTACAAAATTATCCTCACGGATACTCTCGAATAGAGTAATCAGATATTGGAATTCATTACCGATGAAAGTGTTCCCGGTTAAGCAGTCGTCTAAGGCATTTAAAAACAGACTATCGAACTGTGATCTCAATCATTTTCTCGCTTCAGATTCCAATAATTTCTAACACCCAGTGTTGCCCCATTTCCCGTTCCCAATCCTCCCCCGTTCTTTACATCCAATCCTTTGTTAAATTTTAATCCCAATTATTCTACCTTTCACATGTCAGAGGTATCATACCCTCCGGTGAATAAACAAAATAAATAGATAGAAACCCGCACAACCCATCAACTTGAAACTCAATTTTCTCTATTACTGTGAAAGGTATCAACAATTTGTCGACAGATAAATCAGTTATCATAATATCACCAACATTTTATCAGTTAACAAATTGTTGATACTTTCACAGGAATGGAGATAGTTTAGCTCAGAGATGACAATGTGAGACGAGCCTGTGCGGCAACAAAAGGAAACTTGGCATTTTCCAAAAAATATTTCCCCCTATTTGAACGTTTTTGTTGACAATTGTGAAAAATTTCACATCTTCACAAGATTTTTGAGTTGCCGAAATGCCTAAATTTCGATAAATTTTGGCAATCGTCAATTTGCATCCGCGCAGGCCTGGTGGAACGCCGCTATCTCTTATTACGCCACCACCACACCGTTCCGACCGCACCACGATTAGCATGGTGCTCTTCTCGTCGTCTTATGTATGTTCAACCAGTGTCTTTGTCTCTCAACCCTCCGACGCAACCTCTTTCAATCTCTAAAAATTCATAACTTCTTACTCTTCTCTCCAATTTTTATGAAATCCTGGTCGGTTTCTTTTTTTTACCTGTCCATTTTTCTGTTGCCTTTGCCCTATTTTGTGTTTATATGAACCAAAAATCTCAAAATCTAATTTGTTATCATTCAAGATCTAGCAGACATTTATAACTCTTTAATTTTCAGAAATGCTTCCGAACAAATCAAACCAATCGGATGTGCCAAAAGGACCAATTGTTCTGCCAGAACCTGAAAAGCGTACGGTAGTGAAAGAAGCGTTTCCGGATCCGTTACCGTCTCAAAATCGCTTTGTGTTCCAAAAAGACAAAAACTTGTGAGTTCAAGTATTTTATAATTAATTCGGAATGTTGCGATTCTTCCTTATATATAAAGCGCTAGACGCTTATGTTGGTCTTCATGGGTCGTTGTTTTATCATTTGAGAAAGAGTATACGAAGAGAGAGGTAATGGTAGCGGAGTGATGAACCAGTAAAATAGATTAAGCTGAAGGCGCACCAGCCAGCGGGCTGGTAGTCTTATAAGATGACAAAAAAACTCAGAAGGAACCATTTTTCTCTGACTAAATCAATTAATTTTTTCAGTTACTTTGTCAACTTTGGAGTTTATCGTCAGTCGAACGGCTCTCAGTATTTTCAATTCGCTTCTGAGATCATCCTTAACCAGAAATATATCAATATAATGGAAAGGATAAATAAAGAGTGTCAAGGGCGGAAACTGATTGACCCATCTTACAAAATGCCGACTTATGGAGTTGTTTGGCAGACGACAGAAACCAAAGGAACCATGACAACGCCACTGGAATTGGAGTCGCCGACCCCTCCGAATCAGAAAGATCATCCTGAAACTTGTGAGGGATGTATTTTGAAATCCGAACTGCGCATCAAAAACGATGAGGAGTTGAGAATTTTGGGGGACTACTTCGATGAGGCTGTGCGAGAACTGGAGAAGCACACGGAAACGAAGAGGAATCTCGAGAAAAAACTGAAGAATACGATGTTCAGCGAAAAATTACTCGAAGAAGCCAGAAGGGAATTTCAGGAGAAGAACAAGAAAATCAGCTCCCTGGAAGAGTGAGTTTCAAAATCGGTGTAATGTGTCAATTCAATTCATTATAGAACGCTTCGAGAAGTTCAATCACAAAAGGAAGGAAAACTCTTGGAAAAGATGAGAAACCAAAAAATGTTGCTGATTGATGCCCACTCAACCAGAGAAACTGAATTAGAGAAGCTGAAAGAGTGAGTAGCAAATTTTATTAGAAGTAGTATTAGTCAACTATTCCAGAATCATTCGAAATCAAAACGAAGAAATTTGCCAAATGATCGAAACTAAGGAGGATTTAACCGAAAACATAAGAAGGTGAGAGATTACGTTTTTATTCAAAAGAATTGACCAATTTTTAGAGCTAGAATTGAACATAAGGACCTCCACCAAAAAAATAAGGCATTGAGGATTCAATATCAAACAATAAGAACGGAACGACACAGGGGTGAAGAGATTTACATGAAACACATCGATAAATCAATCGAAATACATTCTGGAAGGTGAGCGTCTTAGAAGGTAGACTACGAAAAAACTCTAGTTTCCCTGATTGGAGCTGTAATTTTTGAATCCAAGAAAGTTCCGACAAGTTTTTAGTCTCCACTCTAGTGACAAGACTGAAGTCACCTATACCTTGGTTTAAGAATCGAAGAGTTGGAAGAGTTGGGACACCAAACGCTCGCAAATCGTGCGAAGGTGGAATTTGAACGGTACAAGACAGCATTCAACGCTCGGCTCGATATTATTACTGCAAACCAGATTCATCTGCAGGTAAAATCATAATTTTCAAAAATCATATCGGCACATGCTTTATTTCAGCAAATTGACACTCTTTACCTGCTTGTTGATGTGCCTTCTTTCAAAAAGTTTTCATCAAAACTTTTTGATGAAATAACTGCTGCAATTTTGCATAATGATAATCAACGGGGGGATAATGGAAACCGTGTGGCACCTCCAACTCTTCAACGAGCAGATGATGGCAACCGTGTGGCACCTCCAAATATTCAACAAGATGAACAGGAAAAGGAGCATGAATGTCCACTTTGCTTCGCATCGATGCTTCATGGCAAAGTTCTGGCCTGTTGGTCGTGCAAGAACAAGTCTCATGAATCGGTAACGTTGTTCGCATTAATTCCATGTTTTATTTCCTTAACATTTAAGTGCGTCAGAAAGTGGCTCCAAAAGAAATCTACGTGCCTCTTCTGTCGGATTAAATGGGTGGATCCTGTCGATTTTCCACCTCTCTCCGGAAGCTGAATATCAATTCTCAATAATTGGGATTATATTAATTTTTCTTTTTAATTTTCTTGGATATGAAATATGTTTAAAATGTTTTTTGACTTTCATTTTTTCAATTCGAAATACGGTACTTCATAACCGTGTTTTACTTACCTACAAGTACTCATCTTTTCCCGTTTATTGCTCATTCCGTTCCTTCTCTTTTTTTTACTGACATGTTTATCAAGTGACTAACTGAGTACTGTATTTCAATCAATTTATTTTTGCAGAGAAATTGCAATGCCACCCAAAAAGAACAAGAAGAACAAAACGCCTTCCAACGAACCCAAGCCCACGAGTGAAAATTCAAAGGTTACAGTTGAATCAGGAAATGGGCAATTGGTACGGGACACGGAAAAGACACCCGAAAAATGCGTTGATTGCTTAGAGAAGCAAAAGTTTTTCAAGAAAAACGAAGAAAAACTGAAAAGAATGAAGGACAGCATTTCCTCTTTCAAAGTCGATATAAATCGTTTGAAAGACTATAACAGCAAACGTGAGATCGAAGTGGAGAATTGGATTGCAAAATCCGAAGAGCTGAAGAAAATCCAAAACGAGTGCTCGGAACAAAATGAAACTATACAGTATTATGAAAAGTGAGTGTGATTCTTTCCCTATACCAAGTAGTAGCTTTTTCACAGCATGTTGAATGACATGGAGGCGGAAGAAATAATTTTCGAGATGAGTTCTTTGAAACTGGAGAATGATCGTTTGGAGAGACAACTAGAGCCAAAAGATCATGAACTGGAAGCACTCAAAGAGTAAGTAACGTTTTTGCAGTTTTAATCAATGTGAAAGCATTACAGACAAATCCGCAAAAACAGTGAGCGCATTACCACTATGACACAAGGCTACGAATTGCAACTGAAAACATTCGAAAGGTACAATACCGGACAATATTGATTTTGACCATTTTCAGGAGTCATGAGTTACATATTACTTTGTAAATTTTAGAGGTTATAATCAAACAGAGATTAAAAACTTTCCAGATATAGAATTTTTCAAAAAATTCAATTTTTTTAGTATTTTCCGATTTCTGAAAGACACAGTGCAAAAACTGAGAAAAAAAGCATCCTTACGAAAACGGCAAATAACTGAAAAACTAAGAATTTCAAAACTTTCTGTGACTTCAAAGTTTGCAATTTAAGTCTGATAACCTCCTAAATTTTCAAAGTAAGTGGGCACTTGACAGCCTAGCTCCAGACTTTTGAAAAAAGGTCAAAACCAACTGAACAACTCTTAATGTGGTATTCAAAACTGCAAAACCGTCGTTTTCAGCTTATCCAACGAAAATCATATAATGAGCGAAGATTCAGCAGCTCTAAAAAGCCAAATCGAGATAAGGGAAAACAATCCAAGAGTTATTTGATTTCAACGATGATGCAAACATTCAGAAGTATTCCAATCAATTATTTTCGCCTTTTTATCTATAAATCATTTTTTTTTTAATGTTATTCCGTTTTTTTTGTGGATGGTTGGTTTACGTGTTAACATACTCAAGACTACTACCTAGTTTCCCTATATCAGTGCATCTCTCATCTTTTTTGGATATTCTCAACACATTTTTCCATTTTTTCGGCTGTCCGTCATTTTTGTCTCTATAGCATGAGCACAACCAAATACATTTAACATCGCCTTCGGGTCAGTTCCCATATCTCTCTTTTTAAGTGCCTGTTCGCTTTTCTCAATCGATTTTTGTATATACATGACTTCCTTCAAAAAAAGATTTTCGGAAAATAATATTCAACGTTTTTTCTCCAGTCTTGCATTTTATTTCTTCTATTTCTTCTTCATATCCTTTGATTTTTCAGGGTAACAACACAATGACTAGAAAGAAGAAGTCGAAAGCACAGAAGTCATCTCCGAAGACGGATGCGAATACAGCTCTGCAACCAACCTCGGAACAAATTCTGAAGACAGCTGCGAGTTCAAAATCAGCTAATCATTTCACTGATGAGGAGAAAAAATCGGCAATGACTCGTTTTCGAGATATGGAGCACACGCTGTAAGTCTGCATTCACGTTAAAATATAATGTTAAAACCTATTTTAGCATTTCCGATGCTTATTGTCAATTATTCGATGGAACAAAGGAAGGAAATTGCATATATATGGATATTCCGATAAAGGTCACTGATCAATTCAAAAAATCGTTAGAAGAAACCATACAGCTATTCAAGCAAATGTCAGTTTATTAACGCCTGCACTGTTCAAAATTTGCATTTTACAGTAAGATGTCAGACTTTCAAATCCCATTTGAAGTGGAGATTCGCCCAAAGATGTCCAGAAGGGAAATTCTAAAAATGTATGGGATTTTCTTATCTGCTGTGGCGAAGTGCATTTCGTGTTTCGAAAGGAAGGACTGCCCGGATAACCACAACTACGATTGTTTATCTATGTTAAGCTTGATGGGAACAATGTACAATTTTTTCGTTGCCGGAGTTGACATACAAAGTCCACGCACATCGTCAATTTCTGACCATTCGTTCAAACTAATCGAAGTAGTTGGAAATGGAACGAGAGGACGCTCAGCAGTACACCACCGAAGTCAGCACAGTACACCGTTTTCACAACATGTCCTCTACAGAATGTTAGAGACTCCGATTCTTCAAAATCAGGCAGAACAGAAAAACGGAAAAACAGAAGAACAGACAGTTACTCCTCAAGAAGCAGTATGTGAAAAATGCAGTAAAACTGAAGCTAAATATGAAATGCAGAAGACAGAATTGAAAAAAACTCAACAGGAGATTGAGACTGTCAAGAAGCAGCTGGAAAATGCCAAGCTGCGGAACAGTTCTCTCCGCAAAGAAGAAATGACGCTTAAGAAAAAAGCCGAGAAGATGGAGAACCTTCAGAGAGATTGTAACGAACACGCAGAAACAATTCGTTTCTATGAAAAGTAAGTTATTGGGTTTGAAAACATCTGAGCTTTTAAATTTTTTTAGTTCGATGAATGACGTCGGAGGAGATTTTGTATTGGACGATATCCAGATGCTGAGTGAAGGTGTTCAAAAACTATCAGAGAATAATAACCAAAGAATGGCAAATCTCAATCACCTTCAACAGTGAGCTTCTATTCCCTTATAAACATATAATGACAGTTACAGGGAAATCGCAGAACAACAACAGGGAATTCTTGCTCTCACTCAACAAAATGAATCTCTTCGCGAAAACTACCACAGGTAAAACATTCGCTTTCACAGGAGCATGATCTAACCACTTTTTCAGCGTAAAAAATAAAATGGAGCAAGCGGAAAATGAGAAGATACAACTGCAACAAAAGCGCACATCTCTTCTTCGCAATAGTGGAGCATTGTTCACATCTCAGAATGGGAATGCAAACTAAATTTTAATATTCCGAACTCACTTTGACAATGTTGGAGTCACAAAAAATCTGTCGCTTCTTTCTCTCTTTTCTTTTATTTTCTTTTTTTCTTTCTTTTTTTCTTTTCTGTGATGTTGGCACATCCTAATTTTAACATTTCGCAATTCTTGCTGTTTTTCAAATAAACTCGGTGAAAATCGTACTTGTAAAATTCCGGGCCGGGCCTGAGGAAATTTTGCCCGGGCCCGGCCCGGAAGGCCCGGTGTCAAAAATTCTGTATTTTTTGAGCCAAATTTTGAGCTCTCAATATAATTTTTTTCCATTTTTTTTTCGTATTTCGGATTGTTTGTCTGTCTGATAAAAAAAAATCGCAAAACTCGAAAAATTTTTTTTGGTCAAAAAAAATCACATAAGGGTCCCCCTTATGTTTTTTTTGAAAATTTCTAAATTAGTGAAATGACGGGCCCGGCCCGGCCCGAACCGTTACAAGTATGGTGAAAATGGGAAAGACAATGATTCATTTTAAGAATCCGGAAATAAAAAACAACAATGACAAAAATTATGATGCAGCCTTGTCTGCTCACGAATGTTTGAATTGTCATATTTCAAATTCAGAGAAACAAATGTGTGCTATAGATATGCCGTGATAGTCTTCCAATTTCTAGGAAATCCCAGAAAATTCTAAAACTAAAAATTTCCAGAAAATCTGAATTCTTTCAGAACTTTAAAATTCTGGAAAACTAATTTTGAAACACGAAGAAGGCAAAAATGAAATATTTTTCAAACCTCATATACCTTTGTACAAGTTAGTACCTTTGTACAAGTTTGAGCAAATTCTTAACAGTTACCTTTAAAACCTTCCCTTATTAGTTTTTGTGAACGTTCATTTGATTTGTTAAACATTTCCATTAAATTTCAAAAGCCCTCGACATATTCCGGCTCTTTATGATTTAACGCGGGTTCAAACAATTAACGGGGGTTTAAAATATTAACGGGGGTTTACATTCTTGACGGGGGTTTAAAAAAAATTAGAAAAATTAACGGGGTTTTGAAAATTTGAAGGGGTTTTGAGAATTAACGGGGATTTAAATATTAGACGGGGGTTTTCAAAAAGTGTCAGGACGATGTTTGGGGAAGTCCCCAAAATGTTTCAAAGTGCTACAGTTTCTTGTTTTTTGCTCATTTCAGTTGATTTATTCTTTTCTGAAATCATTTTCTTGTTTTGTTCTTTTTTCATATCTAAAGTTTCATGGCACTGTTCTAGAATTACGGAACGAAAAAAAATTTATCCAAGTCTATCATCTAACCTTGGAAGCAGGTACAGGAGGCTTAGAAAGGAAAGGGCGATCAAATAGTTGCTCTTAGAGAGGTTGAATGGTGTTGGCGAGTCAAGTGATCCGGGAAAGCGGTACAGTTGTATTTTGGATTCGAGGTTAGAACTAGCAGAGTTATGTAACTTGCCGCCAATTTTCCGATGACTTAGATGAAGGAAATATGACGTTTCAGCCTAAGCCTATAATCTACGAAGGTTTCCTAGTGTCAAAATTTTTCTACCCATTTTTTTATGTGATTTTCATTCGTTCCGCAATTCTAGATCAGTACCATAAAATTTTAGAAATGAAAAACAAAAAACAAAAAAATGATTACAGAAAAGAATAGATCAACTGAAATGAGCAAGAAACAAGAAACTGCAGCACTTTGGAACATTTTGGGGACTTTCCCAACCATGACTCCGACACTTTCTGAAAACCCCGTTAATTCCCAAAACCCCTTCAAATATTCAAAACCCCGTTAAATCATAAAGAGCCCATATTCCATCATGATTTTCTGGTCGACTCCAAAAAATCATTTCGCAATGAAAAACTCCGGAACTCGCTTTCAACACAATACGATAATTGTCGAGGCTCTACACAATGAGCCACGTGAAAGAAAGCTAAAGTTGGCGCCGACGAAAAAAAAACATTGAAAGAGAAGAACATTCAGCTATGACGCACGAAGTTCTCGAGAAGCTCTATGAAAAAATCGACAAGGAACTTGGAGAGGATCATGTTCAGAATCTGGTCAAAAATTTGATGGCAACTGAGAATCAAGAAGAAACATTACAAAACTTGATAGAATTGCACAAGCAGGTAAGGCTCAATTTGGTAAATACTTTTCTGAAATTATATACAGTTTAAGTTTTTGCCAATAAGATATACTAAACGTCTTTTTCAGCAGATTTTTTACCATTATTACCATTTTTAATAGTCTGGTCAGTACAAAATCTGGCCTTTGACAAATCGGCAAATAGTTAAATAACTAGAATTTCCCAAATTAAGTCTAGAATGCGAACATTTTTATCTAGATCTGTTTAACACTCTTCAAAATTTTCTGAGTGATGGGAAACTTGACAACCGAGCTCCAGACTTCTAAGAATGATCACAATAGCTGCAAATCAATTGAAAGATATTTTTGTATGTCTTATCGACCGTTAATGTATTTTTCTAATTTTTCTTCTTGCCTTCAGTGTTGCTCGGTGTTTCTCAATACTTCTTCCACTTCAACTACACGTAATCGTCCCGCCTCGACAAAAAAGAAAATTATGAAAAAATAAATTTAATTTTTTGATGAATTTGTCATGAATCTTAACTTCTTATATTGTAAAATTGAGGAAAAAAACCAGACAATAAAAATCATCATTCATTCATAGTTTCACACTACATACAATTTTTTTTTCAAAGAACAACAAAGAAAGTTGTTTTTAAATAAAATATTATGGCAAGTCACATCATATCCACATCATAATTACTTCAGTTTTGTATACACCACTCTTGTATGTTCAAGATATCCAACTTTTGGATGAGTCGCCGTTCTCATCTCAATCACTTGCTCCATATATCTATCGTCGTGACGGATGAACGTTCTTCGCAACTGAAATCAAATGATTAAATTGATTAATCAAAAAGAAAAAGGTCATACATCTTCCACTGGCAAATCTCGGGAGAATGAAATGCGTCCAATATCCTTTAACGTGAGAACCAGTTTGTTTGGCGAGACAGTACCAGTTTCGTATGTGGTGAATCCTGTAATTGAATATGGAACAAAAAATGCATTATTTTGTGTTACATGATAATTGGTAGTGGATGTAACTCAAATGAAACGCGTTACAAAAAATGTAACAAAAATTTTTATCACTTCAAAACTTACCATTATTTCCTGTTGTCATCAATGTAGCATTTCCAACTGGGTCCACAGTCAAGAATCCCCACTCGTCATGAAAATGATCTTTGGTGGAATGAGACCAGGCACGAGCTCTGCAATAAATCGGGATTCTTCACGGAACTTTTTTCTTCAAATTTGACCTTATTCTGCCCTCTACCCAAAATGATTAGTGATCCCTGTAGAAATCAAACGAGTTCTTTCCACTTTTCCGTTTTTCTTCTCAAGGAAGCAGGGGCTACTCGAAAAAAAAAACACAAATGAAACTACCTTTCTCTTCTATCTGTTAATGATATAGGACATAAGGAAGTTTTTATTTTAGACAACTTTCGCTTTCAACGAGTTTTTTATTGTAACAACCCAATTAGGGTTTCGCATTGTTAAACTCTCACGTACTTGAATAATTTCAAGGTCGAAAATAACTTACGAGAAGTTTAAGAATTGTACATTGGCCGATTTGGCAATTGGCGCCTCGTTGATGACCAGTTCTTCACCGAATGTCATTGTTGGCACTGTTGGCCAGAAAATCTGAAAATGGAATTATGTTTCTGACAAGATATTCAGAATGCTTTTGAAAAGCAATTTTTTTTAAGTCGAATCAAACCTTTCCTGAGAATTCCGATCTCCATTTTCCAACAATCCACTCTAATTTTTGATTGTGCTCATTCAAGACCTGAAAAAAGTGGGTTGAGAAGATGTGAAAACCAGTACAGCTGACCTTCAAATCTGCAACAGAACATAACGTATTTTCTGAAATAGAAGCTCACCCAAACTGGCAACTTTGAGCTCAAATGTCTCGGTTCCAGTTAGAAATATCAAAAAATTGTCAACGAATGAATTATCTATCATTCTATCACCAGCTCATCAGTTGACAAAATTTTGATATCTTTCCAATGAATCCAGATAACTGAGCTCAACGTTGACGTTTTGGGTGGGCTTCTATAAAATGAAACGGTATTCTTCATTTTTCAAAATAACTTCTGAAAGTTTCAAAGCAAAAAACTATAATTTCAAATTTAGAAAATTTCTTTCTATCAAGGTGTTTCGTTTTCAACGAAGCGAACTATCATTACTATAATATTTACCTGCTGTGAAATAGGAACTATTGAAATAAATAATAGGGCTGAAACGACAACGTGGCATCTTAACGACGACATGTCCACCAGCTGTGCCGTCGGTTCTGTCCTCCTCTCTTCCAACACACGATGAGAAGAAACGGGGGGATGATGACAGTCAAAACGAAGGGCGAGACCGGTCTACCATAGTCGGTTTCTCTCAACGGCGTCTCCACCCACTCGAACGATATTTCTGACATCCCTACGACGTCTTCTCCGCAACGCTTTCACCGTTCCTTCCTTCTCCCTCCCTCCATCTGCTTGTCATTTTCTTTCCGCATTCATCTTTTCATTTCGTACACTCAAACACAGATACATTCAGATTGAGAGAGACCGCCTAGACTGATCTTCTCTCTGCCTGCTGCTTGTACGCCATATCAGCATCAGTCTCCTGTCTTATGAACACCGATTCCAATAGATATGTTCCGTGTCAGCTTTAATAGATCTTCATTATAGGAAGAAGAAACATTTTAAGTTCTGGGGAAGTAAAAATAGTCACTTTAAAAGGGAGTGACTGCTTTTGAACGAGATTGAATGCTATTTCTCAAAAAATCCCCCCCCCCCCCGTACTTTGCAGTTTTCTTATCCTCGGTAACTTCCAGAACCGAAAAATTCGAATTACTGGTAACTACACTTTAAAATACGTCATTACAAGCTACACAGAAATTTAAATACTTTAAAATCTAGTTCGAAAAACAAGAGAAAACCTAACGTGCAGTTCTTCATCCTTCAAAAGTGAGCATAAATTGCTAATAAAAAAGCCAAAACAGCCACAAACCACAACTCTGGTCACAAATTTCTGTATGATGAGGCAGTTTCCTGGTTTTGGGAGGTCTTAGCCTTGCTCATACATTTTAGAGACCAGAAATCGAAATGTGCATGAAACGTTTGCGTTCAAAGTACGTATACAAAACGAAGGAAAGTTGGAAACCTGGAGGATAAGGATAATCCAGATTTCAGGAAACTTGAAAATATTATTTTAGGGTTGGAAAGTTGGAAATAACAAATATTAAATTTACGCTTCGTTTTTCAACTTCCTGAAATGTTCGTGTTAATGTTGTTGAAGAATAAAATTTTCAATTTTCCACTTATTTTACGTACTTTGATATCCAATTTGTCTTTATAATTTCAGACCTTTTCTCAGAGAATATATATATTTTTTTCAATTTTCGAAAAAAAAGCTGTAAAATAGTGGAAAAATATAAAAAACTTTATTAGCAAGACGTCTGAAATACTATATTTCATTTAAATTCTAAATATAACATAACATAATTCACGGAACTGTTTTATTGGTACTGAAACTGGTACAACTCGCCTGAAACTAGCTAGCACATTTTCAAAATTTTCAGAGAAAAGTTTTCTATTTTCAACCCATCCGGAAATTTTCATCAAAACTATGTACAACGAGATGTCGAGGTTCCCTTGTTAAATTTTAATTTCCATTGACGAAATTTATGTGAATGTTGAAAATAAAGAAATGATCCCGGGCGGGATCGAACCGCCGACCTTCTGTGTGTAAGACAGATGTGATAACCACTACACCACGAGACCTCTGGTCGGACGAACACACTTGCCATGAACACATAGTGTGTCACCAAGCCCCTCCACACTCCTCGTCTCTTCTCCTAAAAACACGCACACTCCTTCTTCCCGAACAGCTAGGAGGGAAAAAAACAAGGGAGAAATACTTTTTTTCAGGTTGACCTGTTTGAGAAGCACGTCATAGGTGGTGTATCGATAAGAAAATATAGTCCCGAAGGATCGTATTCTATAGAATATTTATACGAAAGTTTATTATGAATGTAGTTTGAAAATCAGCCCATGAGATAAAGCTGTCTAATTATGAAAACATAAAGGAGGAAAAGATGTTTGAGAGTTTTAAGATGGTATTATACAATTCCCTTATCCACCTGACTGAGAACCGTCATGATTATTACTTTTACGTTTTCCCCACTACTAGTATCAAGAACTTGGATATAAGGTCAGTTTCTTTTTACAAACACACATGTTCACACAATATCTTTCTCACTCGAAGAGAAAGAAATGGAGAAACATCGTTTTTTTCCGCTTGTTGAAAAGTTCGCTTTCATTCACTTTTTGTCGCCACGTTCGCCCTCCAATTCATCACCACGCGGCAGTCAGTCAAAATGCATAATAATCATTTTGATAGTTTTTATTCTGCGACGCAGTTCTTTTTCATTTGAACTTTTTTCAAAAGTTAGTTTTCAATACCTCCGTTATTTTTTCATAGGCGGTGTTGCAACAGGATTCAAAACTAAAGTGTTATTTTCAAACTCAAAAGGTTTTTGCAACACATTTCTCCGTTTGAAAATATATGGAGAAGTTCGATCCCTCATTTTGAGCTACAAATACTGCTAAGAAAAATCTTTCAGTTTTCCATAATCTCGGGCTCAATGAGCACCTTATCTAGAAACAGTTTTAGCATACCTGTATATTTTACTTCCCGTATTACCATCCACCCACCATAATTCACAACTTTTCATGTTAGACTGGAGTTTATGTTCTTGACCCATAATCTTTTGTAAAAATCATGTGCTCATCCATCACATCACCACCACCACCACATACTCATCCCATTTGCTCGAAATAGTCACCGTCCCTCTCATGCCGGACCAGCAACAGTTGGGCTCGCGTATGTTGCAATTCTCGTGGATTGGGGCCAGAGTTTTTTGACGACGAGATGAGCAAGAAATCCGTGAAATGAACGACAAGAACGTGCATAAAAGCGTTGGAAAGGGATAGCGGGGAGAATTGAGCTCATGCCAGATGCTCCAACGGAAAAAGAAGGAGCCAGAAAAAACGCTGGATCGGAAAGAAAATCTGGTGGCTCTCTATTCACTTTGTGATTTTAGATTGTAGGAACTTCTTTCTAATTGCTTTTAGTGTCCTTGTCTTAGTGTTTATGAATCTCTGCAGTCAAGAACGTTTGCGGGGAAGTCAAGGGGGATCGAGCAAAGCAGACAACATGTTCTCCAGAATTTTCAAGGACACGAGTACGCTCACATTTTGATTCTTCTCCCCCCACTCACCTATCTTTTTTTTGCTCCTCGACTACTTTTTATCATTTCGAGCCCATCCGTCATCCTACTTGCTTTGACGATTTTTTTTTTCGCGTTCTCTTCTAGTTGTCTTGTTCTCTCTCATCTGTTCTCAGCATCACCACAGGTCAAACTATCAATTACACCTCATTTCAAACTCTCGTAAACGACTCTTCTCTATCTTCCCTATGTTGTCTTTCTAGTGTCAATCCAGTGAACTCTAATTATCGAAAAGGCAACAAAGGTTGCTTGCTTGTCAACTGATATAAATTAGGTTCACGCTTCCCAACTTGATCCATCAATCTTCTTCGAAGCTTCTTGCGGTATTACACTGAGTTTGGATTGCACACACACAAACGCAAATACACACATAAATCGACGAGAAGTGATTGTTTTCTTTTTGAAACAAGTGTGAAAACGAGAAAACCACAAACATGTTGGATATGAATGTCTGGGAAAATGGTATGAGCCGATAGAAGGAATTTTTCTGGGAAAGAATTTTTTCATGGAAGATACTGTACATAGGGGAAAAGGGTTTTCCCGATTTTTTTGTTCTGATTCTTTGAACTGGACTTATTAGATAATATTATAATTTCAGAGAAACTTGTATATTTTCTCAATTAGTTTTTTTATTTCTTTCACCAACGTATCATCAATCAACAAAAATATCTGATCACTGGACGCTCCTGCTAGCCAATAGTTTTTTATCACCTTTTTCTCATTCTTACGCTAGAATTTACTGCCTTAACCTACTCCGTTCCATGCCTTAGTCTTCTCATGGATCATTCGTTTTTACTCCCAAAAACTTCTCCATCTTCATTCCCAGCTTCTCTTCCTCCTCCACCCTTCCATCTTCATTTTGCTCTTTACACATTTCATGTTGTATTACACAACTTTGAGCATCTCTCACAACACACACACAATACAAGTTAAGGAGACAAATACCACGATTTTTTAATTGCTCTTGAATGGTTTTTCCTTGGGTTTGGGATTTGAGGGTTTTGAGGGATCTGAATGTTAGAACAGAAGTGTGTTACATTGAAAGCTACAGTATGCCGTTTCGTAAAATCTGTCCTTTGTAGGATGAAAACATTTTCTTTGGAATTCCATTCAGATTTTTCTGACTAGAATTTCGAAGAGATCCTTGTTATCCAGTTAAGTTAAACATTTGTAACATGAAATTATCTTGTTTGTAGAAAGCTACCGTAATCCTTGCAAAATATTTAAATTTTCTAACGTCATTTAAGCCTTAATTAGCAAAATAAAAAAAATTCTTGACTCAATGGAGTCTTAAAATAATCAAGGTAATTTTTGAAATGATTAAAGCTTATTTGCGAATGAAGATCTAAGTATTATATAAAAGGTAGAAGAATTCTGAAACTACAGTAGGAAATGACGTTTCTTATTCTGACAGTAATAAAATCACCTTTCAAATCTAATCGCTCCATCTTCAGATGTTCCTGATATTTAATTTTTTGTTGTGATTTTTCTATATTCTCCGAATCTTCTACCCCAATTTACAACTGTTCTGATATCCATGTCAATTGCCCCTGGATATTTCCATAGATAAATCTTCATCGTTCCCGATGACTTTTGTGATTCTTGGTTCCTATTTCTCGTTTCGTCTTTGTAGATTCGAAGACACATTCCACCCCGCGAAACTTTTTTTTTGGGGCTAGTACCCTACGACCTTTTTCTCTCCTTTCACTCATACAACACATACACTGCTCAATTTCTCAGCTCGTCCGGCTTATGTCATAACGTCGATTGGGAAAAGGGGAGGGGTCAAAG